GGACAAACGAGGACAAACAAAATCGAAATACTAGCCTATTACGCATGAGCAAGGTGAGAAACCGCATAATAATATTTGAGCCTGCTTTACTTTGTTGACGTTTTCTGCAAAAACTGATAGCGTTGCAGCGTCGTAGAGCATGCGCGATAAAGACAACGACCACGATTAGTGAAAGGAGTAGCATCTATTTCCTTTCTTTCTGAATATAAAGTGAAAAAATATAAAAAATATWAAAAATAGGACTCTYATAGCAAGGACCGAAAAGAATATATCATTCATCCACTTCTGCATTGCGAACCTTAAGGTTTTGTTGAACGGCTCTCAGAAATCTCAAAAAAGCTGGTAGTTTGCTGACAATGGCTTCCGGTTCCCAGTCCTCTTGGTCGAGCAATTTATCCCATTCATCAGAGTGAACATGGATGTCAGTCTAAAAGAAAAATATTGCTCAACTGTATAATGAGTCCTAAAATTGGGATTTTCGTAGTCYTTTGGGTTAAATATTATATTAGTAGATATGAAATGGAGGTTCTGCACCACTGTATTCCAAATTCGGGATTCATCACGAGTTGGATCCACTCGGATCCACTCGGATCCGTGAGTGTAAATAAAGGAGGCTATGCAGTTTTAGCGAGGAGAGAAAGTTGCACCATAATCAAGCCACGACACTGGTCATATGAAATCTACCGGYACCTTACTTATATTCTATTACAGCCTTTCTCAATCACACGCGCCCTCTAGCGATTGTTTCTGTTGCGAAAAAATAAGGTTTTGGTGCTCTTAAAAACTTTGTATTTTCCGACAATGTCATGGAAACGCCTTGATTGACGTCCACCAAAACCTACTCTCTCGCGACAGAAACAATCGCYAGAGGGTGCGTGTGATCGAAAAAGGCTGYAACCAAGAGAATATGAACTAAGAGAAGAAATCCTACCTATATAGCCTTGTAACCATCAWGTGCACCGTTTGATGCTATTCTTAGCTTGGAGATATTTTGAGCGAAGAACCTGATTGGTTGATTTCTTGAGGGTAGGCGGCTTCCAGTCTTTTCAGTAAACAAAAGCTTGTGTTTTTGTCGTGGACGAAACGAAATATGGCGCTTTTCGTGTCCTAAGACGAGGCATTAAAGGGAAGCATGATTATCGCGCGGGTATGGTAACGAGTTAAAAATAGCATCAATGATTAAAAATAGCATCAAACTGTGCACATGATGGGGCACGGGGATTCCTTCTCTTAGTTCATATTCTCTTGCTGTAACACCTACTTTTGTTTGAACGTCCTCCTTCATACTGCGGAGATCAGGTGACTCTGCTTGAAAATCCTCTTTCGATATCATGACGTTGAACTCCGTCTTGGTGTCATCGGCATCCGGGTACGAACAAGGATACGTCCAGCGGTTGGCTCGACGTCTGTATACAACAGAAAAACCACTAGGTAGTTCATTTAATGGCAACGTGACATTCTTGTTCTCGTATTTCAAGTTTTCATCTAAAAAGTTGATCAAGGTTTGATCTTCTTCTTGTTGGCTGACGTCTTTCACTTCCTTCATGGCTGTTCAAATGTAGAGCACGACTCATTAGTAAATTTAACAAATTTCCGATGGTTTAGCGTGGTATGTCMTCTTATAGACATCTATTGCACTGAGTCCCGAGGGGAATTGTTCTGGGGGACAAAGCAATTGATTTATTTTTTGTATAAGAAAAGAAAAGACGGCCTATTGTGTTTTGTCCCCCAGAAGAATTCCTCTAGGAAATCAATGCAAGGGGTCTATATATTACGATATGACGTCAAAATGTTATTTACTCACGAGGCGTATCTTTCAAAATACGTATATCTGTATGTGCGCAATACACCGGAAGTAGACCAGTGGAAGTGGGTTTTTGTTTTAACTTATACTATAAACAAAAACATCCTTACTTGTTCGCAAGACGAGATGGCAGTCGAATGTGAGGAAAGGTATGAGTATATCCACCTTAAGGCGGGTCTGTGAAGGGGCACACAAACGATACTTGTAGAAAGAGGACTGATCAGCTAAGGTATTCTTGATCGGTACGATATCATCTTGGAAAGAAAAGCAACCGTCTTCTGACTCATTTGAGTCAGGCACAAAAGCCTARATTGAGCAAAGAGGAGATATTGTTTAACAGCAATAGATAATATACGTTGAGCAGTGTTATTGAACAAACGATTTATGACTGGAATTGAATGTGTTTCAATGACTGCGTCTGCACCGTAGTTTTTGCCGTAGGTTCAGTCTCGTACCCAGAGCTCCCCAGCTACGAGACTGTCATAGGTTTCGCAGAGAGAGAAAAACAATGATCATGATGATGTTGAACGTTGATGCCCGACACAAAATTCACCAGAACAAGCCAGAATACAAAATTCTGGGTTTCATTTCCCTTGACATCTTAAGTCAGAATTCTTTCACATTGAGTCTATCATGACAGCAAAGGGCGTTACCTTGAAGCGGATTCGATGTCTAGTCGGGCTGATAAACGTATAGTCAAATCTGGTATTTGGTTTAACTCTTAAAGCACGTCCTTCAAGTGCTTCTTCAAGGGCTTTGTATTCTAGCTCCTTGACACCTGCATCGAAGTACACCTTCCAAGGAGAGTTCTTTTCGTCTTGTAAGTTTTCATTGATTTCTTTCAACTCATAAGTTTGTCCAGCATCCTCTGACAACGAAATAGAAACAAATTCAAAATGGGTGGTCTAACATTTCTCAATTATCTTTTCTAATAACATTCTTGTGTTATATACCTTCAACCAATACCCCCTAATGATTAAAAACGTCACCTGGTCACATCAGATGTCTGTTATGACGTCATCCTCGGCAATCGTAGGCAATACTGTAAATGATTACGTGACCAAAGTCACGCAATATGTCCGTTGTCAGATAACTTATCAACACTGTGAATTGTTACGTGACCAAACTCACGCCAGATGTCTGTTGCTAATTAACCCTTATCAACAATGAATTGTTAAGTGACCAAAGTCACGCCAGATGTCTGTTGTTAGTTAACCCTAATTAACAGTGTGAATTGTTACGTGACCAAAGTCACRCCAGATRTTTGTTGTCAGATAACTTATCAACACTGTGAATTGCTACGTGACCAAACTCACGCCAGATGTCTGTTGTCAGATAACCCTCATTAACAGTGTGAATTGTTACGTGACCAAAGTCACGCCAGATGTCTGTTGTTAGTTAACCCTCATTAACAGTGTGAATTGTTACGTGACCAAAGTCATGCCAGATGTTTGTTGTCAGATAACCCTCATTAACAGTGTGAATTGTTACATGACCAAAGTCATGCCATATGTCTGTTGTCAGATAACCCTTATCAACAGTGTGAATTGTTATGTGACCAAAGTCACGCCATATGTCTGTTGTCAGATAACCCTTATCAACAGTGCCGGAATTTTTACGTGACCAAAGTCACGCCATATGTCTGTTGTCAGATAACCCTTATCAACAGTGCCAGAATTGTTATATGATGTTATATCTTCTATTCTAACRTCCAGTTACCTTCATCAACACTGTGAATGTGCGCGTGACCAAAGTGGCACCACATATCTGTTCTGATGTTTCCTATATCGTCCATCTTTCGAATTTTACGAAGAACTTTCAGTAATGCTTCCTTCAGCTCAGAAATGTAGTCCATCTCTTTTTCCTGAGAGAAAGAATTATATAATAGAAAAATCAAAGTCAACCTGGAATAATGTACTTCTGTCTGTCCTCAAATGAAACTTTCATCTCCACTTTTTGTTCAGCCCCACATCTGATAACCCCACCCCTCACGGGATAACGCAGGGATTTAACGGGCATTTAACAGTGCTAACATTGGGGTATGGGGAATTTAATGGGATCTTCAACAGTTTAAACAGCAACAACTTCAATGATTTTAACAGAAAATCTTTCTCCTGGGACAGGGAGAAAGTGCATGTTAAAATCCCCACCCTGTCCCAGGGGATAGGGGTTTCAATACTCCAGTTTCAAGTTCTTTTTGCTCAGCCTTAGTCTTGGTTGTGCGCTAAAATATTCAGCTATTCAACCAAATACCCATTGCATTTTAATCAACTTGATGTATTGCTTCTAAGTAGGTACATTCCTTACTATACAATGGGTATTAATGAAAGAAAAGAACACATTTGTACACAATCGAGGAGACTGAGTAAAGGTGAACTGGAAATGGGAGTTTGAACATTGCAATAAAAGACAGTAATATGAAAAGTTTCAAAGAATTTAATCTCTATTTCTGTACCTCAGTTTCAGTATCTCCCTCCATCACAAGTTCGTAATTAATTTTACTGGTGTGATCAGTTTTTATTGGTTGAAGTTTAAAGTAGTTATCTTGACCGATGCATGTATTATCAACCAAAGCAAGCCTTTCAGGTTTGTGACGGMACTGACGACTATGTGCTTTTTTGTGTGCATCGTTGTCCTGAAAGCAAAGTCAAGGAACTAGTCGTAATCTAAGGATAGAATTTTGGTTGAAAAAATACCATCCAGAGGGGGCAAAAATATAAGGTTAAACCCTTTTCAGCAAGCCAATCCTCTTGTAAAATTAGAAATRCCATTTCACGAATCAGAATATCCTCCCTTTAATGACACTTTGTTCACACACTCACCGATACCAAGGTCTTAATTCTTTGCTCTGCATCTTGTACTTTTTCTTGTGTAGGTCCTTTGATCTTAGCRACAAGGTTTTCTGCATCTATCCATATTTCTGTTCCTGTCTCATCTTGAATTCCACGTTGTGTTGTTCCTTGGGGACCAATGAGTAAACCTACTAAGCCAGCTGGAAACTCCACATCTTTCTTTTCCCAGGAAATTGTCTCTTCTTGTTTTTGCTGAAAAAATGATTCCAGGATGGTGAACTGTGATGCAAGTTGCCTGCATCATTGTAGCTGAGGCAGCCTGGAAGCAAGCCCCYCTTCTACCCTCATGACTACAATATACTCACCGACACTAGCTCGAGTATTTTTTGCTCTGCACGATCAACGAGTTCTTGTGTAGAACCTGTAATATGGGCAACACCAGTGTCTCTATCTATTCGTATATGTGTACCAGTTTCCTTTTGGATTCTGCGTATTGTTGCTCCCCCTGGACCAATCAGACAGCCAGAAAACTTATGATCAAAATTGACGTCTTTCTCAGCTTTACATYCTTTGGCTTGCTACAAATAATTAAAGGTGAGCATATCTTTTTGGTGTATTTCACTAAGTGCTGCGCTGAGCCAGGAGTGGATTTGTTTGGTCCCCAACCAGGACCGGTGAAAAAAWAAAMWACAATGGCCCAATAATCTACCCAACAATGGAAGATWAAAACTTTCTAATGCACGAGACTCATATCAAACAAAAATTCACCCAAAGAATGGCAGATATACATACAATAATTGATRAGATCATCTGTCTGGCTTTTTCTATTTGTTGCAGAGTCCCTCGCAGATGGACCCCATCACCTTTAACTTCTATCCTCTTCACTCCAGACTCGGCTTCTATCTTTTGGAGGTACTTTCCTCCCTTTCCTATTACTAGACCCCTTAATTCTTGCGGTACCTTGACAAGCTCAGACATGTCACTACCTTTCGCTGCCATATCTGACAGTACACTACGAGGCAAACTATTAAAGAAAACGAATATTTCCTTAAAGTTAGGAGATTAAAAACAATCTTACATAGAAAAAACATGCTTCTATGAACTGTACCCTTTCTGATAACTTCGATCGAAAATTTTTTTCGATCAAACAAAATCTTGTAATATAGCGTTTCTTTACAAAATAGAGGAGAAAATAGCGGGGCTATATATAGAGAAACAGGTGTTGAAGACGAATGYAAGGCAAATTCTAGAGTTTTAGGTAGCGCTTATTTATGAACCACTGTTAAGGACCACTGTTAAGGGCAAATGAATACGCAAAAAAAACGAGTTTTGAGTTTTTTTGTCGTAAAGATTGTCTTGCGAACGAACCAAATCAAAAACTGCTTATAATTGCAATTCTTCTTGAAGCCTAAAGAACCCGGAAGAATCTTAACTATATGTGGAATTAAACGTTCAAAATTATTAAGTTAAAGGAAAAATATATCAAAGCATTATATTATTGATATCTCTGGCGTTTACCTTTGGAAGCYGAGATTACCCAAAAGATTTTCGCTTTTCCTTCCCTTTTGAGCTTGATTTCAGACCTTGGACTATCATTATGGATTCCAAGAAATCAATGTAGTCTCCAGGGGTGCGTCACTTCCGCTTCTGGTTTTAAAATTACTCATTTCCTGTTTKGAATAGGAGCCAGAGGGAGGGAGGTAGGATGGAAAGGAGAAAAGTTTTAAAACGTGCWAACKRCACTATGGGTAATGTGAATACAATCACCAAAAGGTCACAACCTTTTCCTGGCATTTCTTYAGTGCTGAYATTATTTCATATTATAATATTATAATCTATTCATTTGCTCCATCCATGCAGTCGGTTTAGAATGCCAAATTCGTATTCTGAAGACCTGTGTTTGAGAGTGGATGATGCCACGTGTCGCCAGTCACAGCATACGTCTAATTAATGTACTTCCCATGTGCCATTTCGGTCTCAGCTTCTATGTTCTATGTTTCTGAACCCGACAACGATTCTTCAATTGAGTGTACAACATCCAAATAAAACAGAACAAATAAAATCAGTTAGGTATAAAATAATTGGGAATGTAAACCCAAGACACAATTTGATAGTTGCAGCACATGGAGAAATCTTTATTTACGATCAAAACAAATGATTAACATGCTTCAAGAACGAATTCAATTATCAAGAAATTAAAAATTTATTGCAGCGATAACAATAAGCCTTATTAATAAATCTTAAATTAAGGAACTTGCAATATAAAGACAAAATCATACAAAGATCTCAAAACTAACATTGTACAAGGCAAAAATGCATTCTTAGTAGCATATATCAATAGTTATTCCTATGATAATCATTATCAATATTTCTTGGAAGTGCCGAAAAGCAAACTGGAAACCAATACAATGGCTCCATCTAACAATCAAACAATGTGGCATCTCAATTTTAAGCTCATTTATGTTCGTATACTTAATAGTGAATTATAAGCAGGCTCTTGAAAATCTGTCTGCATGCATTTATTTGTCTTCATCCCTTTGCAGAGGTACATCATATCTGGACGTGTTCAGATGTCATCAATATCAATCTCATCATCCTCCAATTCCTCATTTTGCTTCTTGTTCTTGTCTTTATCAACCACAACACTAAGTTGTTCTGCCTTGTTGTCGTACACCAGGTCATCTTCTTCTTCCTCTTCTTCGCCGCTGGATTCTTCCTCTTCAGCTTGCTTCAGCCATTCAATAAATGGCTTGACTTTCTTGTGAATTTGACTGGACCTTTCCTTACTGACATATTTTTTGGATATCTAAAAAGAAATAATCAGAAAGCATGTTAGAATGCAAGCTATATATCCATGAACCAAACTAAAAGTAGACTGCATATCACATTYGTCTCTGTAAAAAAAAGTTAACTAACAAAATTGTACAAATTAGTGCAAAGTTTTGTAGTGGTCTTAGACTGCAAACAATTAATGTGAAACACTAATTTTATCACTAAATAGTACAAAATAGTGCTATTTAAACAATAGGAAACAATGGAATTTGCATGAAATTGTGCTATTTAGTATTACTAAAGTTTCACARTTATATTGTTTGCACTCTATTGAACTTACTAATTTGGTCCAATTTGTACAAATTCATACCTTTTCAGACCAGCTTAGGATGACTTCTTCATCCAAGAGATCATTGTCATAGAAAGCTTTCAGAATATGGGCAGATTTTGGCAACAATTCTTCTGGATAAGACTTGCCAACAAGCATTTCAAATGCTCCTAGGAGATATTTCTGTGCYTTTTGGTTATCATTGACAAACTGAAATAAAGAGCCATTAAACATTTTAACTATGAGAATACAGTGCTATAAGGCTAACTGGACACATCTAGACTGTGATATTTTAATGCTTATAAAAGACATGCGTACCCTCAGAAAATGAACACGGTACTTTGGAATTTGTTGCAGCATTTTGCAGTCAAAGAGAAGTTCAGCCATTGCCAGAACTGCCTTATCTTTCACATCGAGACGTTCTGCTTCAGCTACCAATTCCTTACCAGAATTACCAATAGYTTCATTTTGCTTTGCTTTCTGTCAGGTTAACAAAAAAGAAAAGATTGATGTATTTTTTCACTGGCACTAGTAAATACAAAAGCCATATAAGACCTATGCTTGTCCCGACAAGATAGGTGTCGTATGTGAGTAGAGTTGTTTGTTGGTTCTCTCCTGTGCTTCAAGGGTTTTCCGGGATCTCCGCAAAAATCATCTACTAAATTCTAATTGGAATCCAGTGGAAGAAGAGCCAATATCATTATAATAATAATATAATAATAATAATTATCATTTATATTTGTATATATAACTATCACATTGTATATATCAATAATAATTATTATAGCACTTATATATTATATCTGTAAATGGTATTTAACAACAATAAATTAATTGATTGATATTATTATTATTATGCTTGATAGCAAACATAGTGCATTGTGGTCTAGCTTGGGTAGAAACATCAAACATCCACAATGCACCTTGTTTGTGTATATTCCATCAARTTCTGAAGAGATACTGACACATACTTTGACATAGTTGTAGAACAAGTCAAATCTCTGTTCTTCTGGTTTTTCAAGATCATCTGTAAATGTCAGTCCCTTGACTCCTGAAGACAAATCCTTCATCCGCTGATGAACTGCAGCCTCTGTTGTGTCAACACACCAGTCATCATCATCACCCTGCCATTAAAGAATGTATCAGATTAGAACATCTAATGTAGATTATATTATGCATCTAATGTATTCTGTTGTTGATAGGACTTGTTATGAACTTACAACATTCAAGATATTATGGTAGAGGACCTGTTGTCATAATATAATGAAGGAGTAATCATTTAATATACTCAACATTACTGGCACAGATAAATTTGAAATATGTCATTGTTTTCCCAATAATTATTACTCTTATAAGAATCATTGCAAGATAGTTTTCACATACATTAGCCGGTGTTATGAATTACAAGGAACAACAAATAACCATAAATGCCTCCTCATATGTCACAGCATTAGCATATGGCATGGAAAAACCTTTATAACTTCAAGAAGACACTGTCAAACTATAAAATTTTTCGGGTTCTTCAATATTTCTAGAAGGGTGATAGGCACTTCAAGAGAACGATATCCTTACAYGATGAGCAACTTTTGGCATTTCAAACTCATTTGCTTCTCCATTTTCAGAAGTATGGGTGGGGCTCACGTCACCATTTTGATTCTTCTTTCGACGCTCTTTCTTGTCCCTGCCAAAAATTAAATCTTGTTAAGCATTGAATTCATAAAGGTTTCAAAAATATAACAAAATATTGCTTACTTTTTGGATGGAGTGGCATTGTTCTCACCACCAGGAGGATTTTTACAGATGTAGGTGATTAACCTGTGTTGCATATTGATGAATTCACTGTGTCCACATGCCCTGCAGCTTTGGCCAATTCTTTCTCTCTTTGCATCAATTTTCTGCATTAAAAGGTTGTGAATATTATTACATAATAAACTCTGTTACCAAGCCAACCAACATAATATCATCACAGACTAACATTATCAACACCATCATCATGTCCTGAACATCATCATTATGACATCAACTTCCTAATAGACCAATCGTCTAATGCAATGCTTTAMGCAATTCAAAACTTTTCTTTACATATCATACCCATATCAATGCTTCATTGATATGTAAATAGTCAAAGAAAAGTATTCCCAGTGGATTTGAATAGAGCAAAACATTGCGCTAGCTGAATTGGTCTATACCATTATTATAGCAAGAAAAGTAACAATAATTACCAGCACAGTTTCTGGATTTTCACAGTTGGAACAGAGGACAAACTTTTCAATAAACCCATCCAGAATTTCTTGTAGTTTTTCACCTTGGTGGGCTCCATTTACAATGTATCTTTCATTCTTCAAATCAATCTGGGTCTGTGCTCCCAGTTCACAACCAAAATACTTTGTTGGGTCTATAACACAACAAACATTATTTACCTKTGATTCTTAGTAAATATAAAATGGTTTACTTATCTCGGAGGTTTGAGGGACCTTTAAAAACATTAGGGGTGGGATAAAGGGTACAGGGGGGGGGGGGGGGGGGGGGGGGCTAAAAATGAAACTACCACATTTTTTCAAGATTTGATTGAATCACGCTCAGATGAAATATGGGCTGGGTGAGAAAGAAAAGAAAAGTACTTTTTTCTCCATGCAATCCCCTTGCCCACTTCTATATCACGAGTTCATGGAATGCTGTCTCACAAAGAATTGTGGTAAAGTTGCCTTAGAGTTTAGACACCTGAGAGTTTAGTTGCCCTGGCAATACGGACTCACTCGGAGTCATGGTTCATTCACCCATAATATATGGTTCAGTCACCTGGTGTTAAAGTCCATTCACTATTAGTATATGTAATAGGACTCCATGCTGTCCAATAAAGAAACAATTGGAYRAGGAAAATTCCAAGGACTGACAAAATTGGATGAGGCCATAGGCTGAGTCCAATTTAGCAGTCAGAGGAATTTTTCAAGTCTAATTATTTCTTGATTGGGGAGCATGAAATCCCATTRCCYATTAATTATATAGCTGCCTAATTAATCCCATATCAACAAGACCTGTCCAATTAAGAAAATAATTGGACAGTTGCCTATATGGGATTAATGAGAAGCTGTATWATTAAAATAGGAATTGTCAAACGAATAACAAAATTAAAACTTGGGCGAGTTTAGTTTGTAGGACTGAACCATATTCCATTACAAGACCTCCATACTGCACAGCTGGGTTAGTGAAGTGTAAGGGGTTATGGATGTTCATGGTATTAGACAAGCCACAAGTAAACTAATACTTACATGATGGTGGCCTAGAGAGTGCCTTTGCAATATCAGGCATGTTTACTATAACGGTCTTGATGCCATTACCTTTCCCCTCAACCTAACACACAAATAAAAGATTACCATGCATGGTTCTAGAAAACATCCCTACCCCACCATGGAGGGAATTGCAAATTCCCAGGGGGCGAGGGGTCAGAGGAAAAACAAAATGAAAAGATTTGTATGGAACAAAATTAGAAATTCCAGCTGGGTTGGGGGTTCTTTTTTTCAAAGTACCTTCATGGTGAGGTATGGAAWWTTTCTGGAACCACACAATCAATAGACCTTAACCATGATGAGGTTTCATACCTAGACTACCAAAATCCTTTTCAAGATATCTTTTCATATTYAAAYGTTAAAACTCATTAGRGAARACTAARWCAATAGTGAAMATTAGCATGTCARAGAAAGCWACSRAAAAGGATTCTGTAAGTGTAGGTATAAAACGACATCATGCTCAAGGTCTATATGTCAATTCCTTTTTCCATTTTAAGGTGAAGAAAWAATATAGTTCATAGTTGAGCTGTTTGACTTTTAATTTTTCTATGACATTAATAAAAACTTACTACAGAAACTGCATTTGAAAAACGCTTGACTATCAAGCAGAGCTTTTTTCTATATGAGGAAACGTCATCCTCAAGTATTGTAATATTTTGATATTACAGCAATATGTAAAAAATGTACAATAGAGCCTTCTTAAAATTGCCTTGAAAGGAAGGCTAACATATGAAATGCAACAAATGCCAYCAAGAAAAGTCTGATTTCTTTRGTACTTTTCAGAAGATATACTTTGGCATCTCATACTAACCTTAGCTATGATTTTAGGCATCTTGTAACGGTAAAATTGGTCTGTGTTCTTTCGGTTRACGTTAACAAAAGCCATGTTGATATCTGTTTTCTGCGAAGTCTACTGTTTGCCAGACGTTTATAGTGATTACAATTTAAACTCGCAAACTGGCCCCTTATATTCGTCATAAACGTTTTATTTCTAGTCCTTTTTAATGGCAAAGTTAGGCTGTTCTGCCTGTTCTTGTGTTGTATTGATAGCGGAATCTTGGCTCTGCGATGTGGATTACAACCTGAAATTCAAACATTTAACATGCATGTAATCTAATTCTAAACACGACTGTCTTGGTATTTTTGGCTGGAAAAATATTCATGGCTCTACACTACAGCATATACATGGTACACTGTGTCACAACCAAGACCACCAAGCAAACAGATTCCCATCGATTTATCACATCATAATGTACAAATATGGTTGAGTTACATTATAGTATTTAAACAAAAGCTAAGGAAAATTTGTTACACTTTGACTCAAATGTGTGTGCCCTTTACCCCGTAAAGTAAAAAAGAGGCACCCCCAAAAATGTGGTAGCCAGATTTGAGGAAGCAATTATTTCAATTTTCTTCACTTTTGAGAAATGCTTTTTTTTTTCAAAAGAATTTTTTTACTTACTCAAGAAATAACCAAGTTTACCAAGGACCAATATTTGGTACTACCGCTAGTAAGATTATCATCAAGCATAATACTGTTAAAAATGGTAATAAATGTTGCAAGACGCACTGGATATCCCAGAGTTAATAGTCAAGGCTACAAGGTATTATTTTAAACACTCTTACAAAATGTTCAATAAACCTTATAATGGAAAACAAAGAAGTTTTTGTATTAAGTTTGGAACTTTGAAACATATAATGCAAAGTTCCAAGATTTTTAAGACTATTTTCTGAAAATACATTTTTYATATAAATAAATAAAATCCAATGAAACAGGCTACAAGATTTTAAATATCTTAGAAAATCCTAGCAAATTCACTAGTGATTGTTTGTTATTCTTATAGATAACTGTAGACTTTGTGCTTTAGCATTCATAATTAATGACCTCAACACAGCCATTTTTGAGTGTAGTAAATAGAAATGGCAGATTTTACTTGGATGGGGGGGGGG